CCAGCGACGGCAACCGAAGACCTAAAAACCACTTCCATGTCTTGACGAACGGTGTCGAGCCAAGTTTTGAATGGTCCTTCTCCTCCTCCCCTGCGCCTCCTGGTGGGCTGCGGCGCTAGGTCGAGGGCTGCTCAGCAACGCTCATGAGGCGAACAACGGAGAACGTGCACAAGCCACCTTAGTTGTTCTCATTAGATTTCCTGAGATATCCTCGAGATACTGTCGCCACGAATGTGGACTGTCTCATTTGAGACGAAGTCGATATAATTCACTCGAAGAATGATCCTCGGGTAACGGTGGTCAAATACCTCCAGTCTCCGCTCATATTCCACACGCAAAGCATTCACAACCATAGAGGACTGACCAAACGGATGCACGGTACCCACGAAACTTCACAGAAGTGGAGATGTCGCGCCGTATCCATAAGCACTATCGTGTGGTGCACCAGATGGACTTGGGTGTTAATGTCGGATAACAGCCAATAAACCAAGAGCAACAATTTCAGTTTTCCTCTGTCACTGTCGATAATGTCAGTGCAGTGAGCGAGAATGGGCATGATATCAGATAACTATTGCCCCAGCCTTTGCGTGCAGGTCACTTCACAAAATAACTACACAGCGAACAAAAACGCTGTGGATTTACTGGGTCCAGATGGCACCTACGTTTAATTTCGGCGATCGGATCTGGGTGATCCTTGAGGGCCTCCTGGACGGCCATTGTAACATTACCACAATTAGTTGTGTCAGCGTTGGCCGATCTTTTCTCATACAGCCTCGAAAGACGATCTTGCAGAATCTGAAATGAAGGAAAAAATATTACATAATAATCATAATCATACTCGGCGCTGGCGGCAGTAACATAATAAGCTTCATAAGAATCATTAAAATACCCGCACCCGCCGTCGACACAAACATTGCCAGCTTGTCCAGCGGGATCTATAAAGATCCACTGTAAGGGAGATGAGCGTAAGCTGCGCAGTCAGTGGATCGTAGTGGGCGATAGCTTCACTGTTTTTTTATTGTTAATAAGAGCCAGCTTAACTTACGCGTTCGCATACTGTTCTATTAATCCACTCACATACCACTTGCGAGCTGAGGTCGCGTCAGCTTCAACCATGATAAGATCTCTGCCCAACCAATAAGATGGGACAGAAGTGCAGTTGATTCGCTAGCCACTAAAGGAAATTATATAATTAGCACGATTCCAGTCCGACCTTGGACATACTCGTGTGCACCGTTTTGCCTCAAATACGTCGTTAGAATAAATAAATAAACTCTTCTTCCACCCTCATTGGGGAACTCAATCGAGCAGAGTTATTGGATAAACGATTATAGAGGTCTGCAGCAAATTCAACACATGTATCTATCGGGTTCTGACAGTAAGGCACGATCAAGACGGTTGGAGTATAAGCATAAACGTAGTGGTTGACCCAGTCTGAGATCTACCACCATTATTAGTACAATCGTTCACTCCAAAATCAGCTAAAATGCTGCAGTTATTCCTGCCTGGGGGATTTGTAATTCAGATGAGGGTAGGACTGTCTTCAGAGGTCCTCTTTGTTTGTGACTTATAACAACAACCTACTTATACATTTTCAGTAGCCTGAATTTCCCTTTTTTTCGTCAAAGTCCGCTAACATAAGGTTGCATTTAGATCACTAGGCATCAGTTGCCTGAGCAATAGGGGTTAATGTTGATGGAGTTGGTTCTATTTAGTGAACTGAAACAAATATAAGTGACTTTAATTTAGTACTTTTGATCAATTTCAACACAACTGAATATTCACTTAGACTCGCTAGACAAGAATTAAATGTTTAAACACAAACTACGTAAGACAGCTGGACGGGCGAAATAGATAGTTAGGGCGGCCCTTCAAGACCGTTTTGCTGAGATGAGTTACCAAAATGAAGAAAGCAATCACGGATGACCCTAGACCACCGCTTCTTTCGGAGAATGCTTGCAAGCCACAATAGTAATCAACATTTTAGTCGGTTTGATCGTCAGTACAAATACTGACATTA